ATATAATACATAAAGTAAAAAAAAAAATCAATTTTTTTTCTGCATATACTGTGATTCGAAATTTTAAAAACGGACATATATTATCCAATTGACGAAAATGTGTGTTCAACGTTCTACATCGATTAAAATATTTAGACAATGATTCAGAATCATATCATAAATAAGAACATTAATAAAATAAATGAGTTTTTTGGCGGGATGGGTTTGGCGGGACGAGTTTTTGAATCAACAATAATAAAAAGATTAAAATATCATTAATCCGCCGCTTCAATACGGATTTAATCCTTATTTTTTTTAATACAAATCACAGGACGGGTTAAGAAATTACGGAACGGGTTATATTTCGGAAATGATTTATATGGCGGACGAATTTGAATCAATATTTATATACCGCTTTAATACGGGTTAAATCCTCAGTTTATTAATAATTATCTCGTGGACTCGTGGTATACCGTTACTTAATAACAATTGTAAACTATAATATAAATAAATATGTTATAAGGAGATACAATTTACAAAATATTTTTATACTAACTTTAAAATTAAATCATCCCGCGGTGTAGCGCGGGTTAAAATCTAGTTCGCTTATATAACTTCAGTTTTCTTGACGATTGATCATGCCATGCATGGGCTACTAATTACTACTCCCTCCGTATCATAAAGAATGATTTTTGAGGTTTTACTTTTGTATCAAAAAGATTAATTTTCTGTAAATTTTTACTCCCTCTGTCCCAATATATAAGATGTTTTAGGCCTTTTCATTTGTTCCATTATATAAGATTTTTTCTACTTTCAATGCATGATTTATATTAGTTTAATGGTTTTTAATTATGTAGTATTTTCTTCTATTGGTTGAATTTTCATAAATGAGAAAACATTTATTGTTTCTTAATATTTGTGCTTTTAGTCCAAACATCTAATAAAATGGGACAGAGGGAGTATCAATTAGTGTTAATAAATTATGAATTTCAAGAATCATTAATTGAGAATTTTTAAATTTGATGAATTATTATTGGTTAACAGCTATGAGAAATGGTTTGGTATGAATAAATAGTGCATTTATAACTAAACATTAAATGTTTACCTTAATTAGTTTAAAAACTCTATAAAACCAATCTTTTTGATATGGAGGGAGTATATGCCCTGAATTTTGGCTTTTTAAAACAAAGAGACAGATTCAATTATCGGATTAGTCGGTTAAAGATCCAAATTACACAAAAACCAAAAAAAGTAGGTGTTGTTATGGTGAAAATTTAAAATTTTAAAAGATTAGTCATTTCTTTTCCCAAAAGTATAGTCATCTAATCACAAGTCACAACCTATAAACATATTTTTTCAGCAACTACATCCCAGGAAATATTATTTCAACAACCACATCCAATCGAAATAAATTAACCATATTCATCTTCGAACTATTTATGTTAAACAATGAACATTTAATTTTCCACTTGCATATTCCCCTGTCGGCAAGGTGTCTACATTGCTTGCTTTTAAGATCTCGCAGATATTTTAATGATACAAACAACTAGCTTGGTGTAACTATCCCTGGCATGATTGGTAATTTTAGTTAGAAATCACAGAAGATAAAATTATTAGTATACTTTATAAATATTAATATTTGATAAAGTAATTAAGCTAGTTTCGCTATTAAAGTAATCTATCTTAATTTGTATATATTTATTTAGTGATTTTTTTTCCTCTTTAATCAACATTAATCACGATATTTGTTAAACATGACTACTAAATTTTTTTTTGCAATCAAGGCGAAAAGCAAACTTGGTTATACTCCCTCCAATTTTTTTTATGTTTTAGGAAATTTTTTTTGTTTTAAATTAGATGATGTTTTTAATATTCAATGCAAAATTAATTTTTTTAATTGAGTTTGACGACTTATATTATTCATAATATTTTTATTGGTTGAAACATGTTTAGGTAGGTAATAAATAATGTTTTAGTTTATAAATAAATAAATAAGTAAATAATTTTTTAAGCTATGTGCAAATTAAAACTTTAATCATCAAATACAAAAAATGGAGGGAGTAATATTTTGTAACGTTTTTTTATTACAACTAAGAAGTTATGGGCCTACACCCGTAAATCTCTTCAGGCTAGAGATCAGAATATTTAATATGGTTTACTCATATACTTTACCAATTGAACTATTGATACTTGATTTTGTAGTATTTTTAGTATTTAAGTTATCATAGGTTCTAGAACCATGAAGAAAAGTTTTTTCTCATCCTTGTAAATTGTTGTTCAAGTTTGAGATCCTTATTATTTTCAAGAAAAAAAACTTGAAGTTTAAATGATAAGCTCTTATAGAAAATAAGATTAATCACGTTAAAAGAATGAATTTAGGAAATCTTCTATAAAGTATACATATAATTTTGAACTCTACGTAATGTAAAGTAACGCTGTCGACAAAAAATAAAAGCCACACCTACGAAAAAGAGAAAACAAAAACTATATAGTATATACAATATCCAAGTTGTTTAAATACGAGAGAATCACATGTTACTCATGCACATGTAGGAGACGATGAAATAAGGATAACACCGTTGATAATTTCTGATCGATCACATGAAGCCTAATCTTTTTCTTAAAATTAGCGTTAAGACAATATTCTCTACATTTGAGTTAATCCCAACCGTTGGATCACACTGACCTACCTTATTGACCAATCCCAATCGTTAGTACAATGTGCCGTCCACGAGAAAGAGCTCGCAATCGCATGTTTTAGATGTATTTTATTAACCCTAAACCTTCAATTTCTCAATCTCAATCTTGCTATGTGGTGGTGATATATCAATGTTGGTTGATATATGATTTCCTGACGGATTTTAGTCTATTTATTACAGAAAGAGTTTAAACTTGAAAACAAACCACTTAAGACTGGAAAATTTCTTGCGATCAAATGGATTTTAGCCGTTTAGCTCAAACTAAAAGAAACGATTAAATATTAGTTTTATGAAAAATGTACCTCAATCAATTAGTAATAAGGGTTGTGATAGTATAGTTGTATCGTTTCTAGGGAAAAAATGTAACAAACTACAATAGTAGATTCGATTCTACCTAATGAAAACATTACACATGCCCGCAAGGTGGTGGGCTAGTGGTAGGGCGAGTCTGGAGTTGAGGGTGAAATCCCCGAACCCAGGTTCGATCTTCCTCCCTCGCTGTTATCAACACTTTGTGGGAAGTCTGGGCTTGGGCTTCGGCCCAGGCAGTTTACCTGGTAGTCTGGTAACAGGCGATCCAGCTACCCCCGGGCATTAGTCGGAAAGCATTCCAAACTTGGGTTAGGCAGTGTGGTAGCCCATCCTTCGGGGTGGTAGTGAGTCCACATGGTAGCACTTCGGTGCGTTCCCCCAGGGCTGACCGGATCAGCCGATCGGGTATATCAAAAAAAAAAAAAAACATTGCACATGGGCTGCTAAAATCATTCTTGGTAGATTTGCGGAAAACTTTTTACAAAGAAATTGACATAACCTGAATACTAAATGCTATATATATCAAAGAAAATAACAAATATTCAACTAATAATTTTTAAAAATACTTTTAATTTTCGATTGTTAGCGAGAAATACTAGACGACAATCCTTTGGTCTAACGGTTACTATAATTTAATACTTTTACACAAGTTTGAGATTCGATTCTCGAAGATATTAATTACTGCAGATTACTGAATGCAAAATTACAAGAGATTTTAAATTATGTGATTTTCTAGCAAATGTCGATATCTACAGTATTTGACCACGTATTGGTGATAGATCTTTTGAACGGATTCGGAAAAGTTTGACAACATCACTGCATGTCATCAATCACCATTCCCCAACTTCATTGAAGCATGATCAATGCCCTCCATGGTAGCAGGGGCGGCGTTTGAGGTGTGCAGGAGGAGCAAATGTGCATGACCCAATTTTTTTTGGGTAAATTTAAGGGTCCAAAATTTTTTTTAGTATGAAAAAAATATAATTTTTAAAATTTTAAGATATTTTTAGCATGAAAAAGGTCCAATTTTTACATTTAGTATGAAAAATACCAATATTTTAAAAAAATTTAACATAAAAAAGGTCCTATTTTTTTTTTGTGTATGAAAAAAGGTCAATTTTTTAGATTTGTACAGGGATTCCAAATTTATTGAGCCGGTCCTGCATGGTAGCATACAAAGTAAACCCCGAGTCATACTCATCACCCACAATTCTAAAACAATATGCTCATCATAAACTAGGACATGGAAATCAAGGACAAGGAAACTACAAGAACCATAGACACCGTGAACAAAACCATATAAGTAGTAGTCAATACAACACTCGTTGGTCCTCCCATGATTACTTATATTAACCATAAAAATATGACTCACTTCCACCATCAACACTATAATAACACCTCCTTAATACACTCATCAAAAATACCAATATCCACTCATCCTAGACCTACGACTCAAATACCATATGCCCGCATAGAACATCGCATCCTCATATATACTTGGACCATATCCAACAAGCCAAACTTGTGCGTGCACACACTCAATCTCTAAGCACACCAACACATTTCTTAACTCATGCTATCAACACCATGTCCCCCCGAGCAACAAATCACATTTTACTATTGCTAACGGTACGAATCAACTACAACTAGAACAAATATCTAAATAATATCTTATGTAACAAGCATGATTATTTAAAGAAAAAATAATATTGTAGCGATCATTACTCTTGTTTTGGTCGGAACTAAAAGTTGATGTTTTATTTCATGTATTGTCTCCTTTTAAAACCATTGACCAAAAGCAGTGCGTACCGGATTTTAATTGAAAAAAAAAAAATCAACCAAAACAAAAAAAAAACCGGAAACTTGCTTAGTCGGTATACCACTGCCAAAAAAGGACCAACAACAATGTTAAAATTTTATAATAAAGTTATTATACACATTTATAGTTATAGAAAGAGAAAAAATAAAAATTTATTATAAATAATGATCCGTCCTCTGAAAATGGGTCTGAAATGTTCCCTCACACGTCTCCTTCTATCTTCTTCTCCAATTAAAATAAAATCCGTTTAACTGTCTCTCGCCGCCGGTAACATTTTCCGGCGACAAAATTTCTCTATTTTCACTATTCCTCCACCGTAATTTCTAAATTATTCTCCATTCCGATCATGATTATATAATCGTTGTTGTTTGTTGAAGACGATCTCTGATACTGATTCCGTCATCACCTTCACTAGATTGTGACTTCACCGTTTTGAGATGTTGGATCTTAATCTCGACGCTGATTCTCCCGAGTCGACTCAGTACGGTGGTGACTCATACTTAGATCGGCAAACATCAGACGGTTCCGCCGGGAATCGAGTGGAAGAGTCCGGTACATCGACGTCGTCTGTTATCAATGCCGATGGTGACGAAGACTCTTGCTCCACTCGAGCTTTCACTCTCAGTTTCGATATTTTAAAAGTCGGAAGTAGTAGCGGCGGAGATGAAAGCTCCGCCGGAGTTACTAAAGAGTTTTTTCCGGTGAGTGGTGACTGTGGACATCTACGAGATGTTGATGGATCAAGCTCAAGAAGTTGGATAGATCTTTCTTTTGACCGTTTCGGTGATGGAGAAACGAAATTGGTAACTCCGGTTCCGGTTCCGACTCCGGCGCCGGTTCCGGCTCAGGTGAAGAAGAGTAGGAGAGGACCAAGGTCAAGAAGTTCACAGTATAGAGGAGTTACCTTTTATAGAAGAACTGGTCGATGGGAATCACATATTTGGTAAGTTTTATCAGTTAATTGGGCCTAGAAAGCTTTTAGGATCACCTGAGTTATCGAAAAAAATAAAGAATTTTATTGTGAGATTGATGTTGATTCAATTTTTGTTTTGCAGGGATTGTGGGAAACAAGTTTATTTAGGTAACTAAAAGATGTTTTTTTTTTAAATGGTTCTTGATAGAATCAAGATTTTGATTCATGGTTTCTTGATTCATGTAGGTGGTTTTGACACTGCTCATGCTGCAGCTAGGTAAATTTTGGATTATAGATAAAGATTTGTTTCGAATTGTTCGGGTTTGGAGATTTTTGATTAATGTTTGTATATTTTTGTAGAGCTTATGATCGAGCTGCTATAAAATTTAGAGGTGTTGATGCTGATATCAACTTTACTCTTGGTGATTACGAAGAAGATATGAAACAGGTTTGGATATAAGTTATATACTTGTTTTGAGTAGGAAGCTTAGTTTGGTTATAACTGTGTTATCTTGTTCTACAGGTACAAAATTTGAGTAAGGAAGAGTTTGTGCATATACTTCGTCGACAGAGCACGGGTTTCTCGCGAGGGAGTTCGAAGTATCGAGGGGTTACATTACATAAATGTGGTAGATGGGAAGCTAGGATGGGGCAGTTTCTTGGTAAAAAGTGAGCAACTTTTGTCTTTTAATCTGAAACCTTTGATTTTAGAAAGGTTATGAAACTAGGAATGGTGTCTAAGTAATGAAACCAAAAGAGAGAGAGAATGGTTAGCAATGGTGATTAAGATGCTTGAATTGCAGGTATATTTATCTTGGGCTGTTCGACAGCGAAGTAGAAGCTGCAAGGTCCTTAATGATCATGAATTTTGCTAGAAACCTCTAGTAGAACTTTCATTTTGTTTTCAAGTCCTACATGAAGTTTCTCTCTTTCTGAACACTTTCTTGAATACAGGGCTTATGACAAGGCTGCAATCAACACCAATGGCAGAGAAGCAGTCACCAACTTCGAGATGAGTTCATACCAAAATGAGATTAACTCTGAGACCAATAACGAAGGTAATCAATCATATTCGAATGAAAGTTCAACTCAATCTATAAGAACGGCTCTGATATTTTAATGTATGCAGGTGGTCATGACAAACTCGATCTCAACTTGGGAATCTCTTTATCGTCCGGTAATGCGCCAAAGCAAAACGGGAGGCTCTTTCACTTCCCTTCTAATACTTATGAAACTCAGCGTGGAGTTAGCTTGAGGGTAACTTACTTCAAACGTCAATCTCTCATGAATACGTGTTTCAAAACGTTTCTTATCGTCTTTTAAACAAACTGCAGATAGATAATGAATACATGGGAAAGCCGGTGAATACACCTCTTCCTTATGGATCCTCGGACCATCGTGTTTACTGGAACGGAGCATGCCCGAGTTATAATAATCCCGTCGAGGTAAAAAGATAGAATCTGAACGCAAATGCAACATCAGCAAAAACCGAGACAATGTAACAATGTTTTGTTTTCAGGGAAGAGCAACAGATAAGAGAAGTGAAGCTGAAGGGATGATGAGTAACTGGGGATGGCAGAGACCGGGGCAAACAAGCGCCGTGAGACCGCAGCCACCGGGAGCACAACCACCACCATTGTTCTCAGTTGCAGCAGCATCATCAGGATTCTCACATTTCCGGCCACAACCTCCCAATGACAATGCGACACGTGGTTACTTTTATCCACAACCTTAACTTATATGGGGACATATGAGAGTTTTTTACCATCTCTCTCTCTCTAGTCCCCTTTCAAAAATGTCATTTGGGTTTACATTTTTACATACAATGATCAAATTTTTCCAAATTCAGATGAGAAAATGTGGGTTTTTACATCAAATTTGGTTCGTTGAGAGAAACTTGATCAACTAAATGTGTGTATACTATTGTTCATGAAATGTCTTTATCATATAATATGGTTGTTTATGTGAAAATGTGTTTCTTTGGTAAGAGGACTCTTGAAAGTTGGAAGGTACAATTTGTAAATAAAAATAAAATATGAGGATGAAGTTTTGTCGTTTTATGTGGTGGTTTTATATATAGATATTTTTAACTAAAATAACACTGTTGAAAAGAACAGTAAAGAGAGATAGTGATAGGTTTTGGCTGCCTCTTCGGCACCCGAAACGATAACGATTTGGCAAAAACATTACATATTCGGATATAGTGCCAAAATATAAATGCTTATTCTATAGTCACGTGTGAAATGTATTGTACTTAACTATTTTTACTGAGCCATGTACAATATGGACTTTTGGAAATAGATTATATGCTCTATATATCTTCTAAATTTCTTTTTATTTAGTTAAATAAATAATTCGAGAAGTGTTTTTAGTTAAATACTTTTTTTTTTGAATTATTAAGAGTTTGTAAGCTTAGACACGTACATCCATTTAGCCAAAGATTAGAGTATTTAGTCAAATAGTTAACGGCAGTGTTCTAAAAAGCGCTCTAAGTGGTCGCTTAGGTCCCGACTAGGCGTTCAGGTGACACCTAGATGACCGCCTAAAATATCATTAATCTTGTTTTTAGTGTATTTTTCAAATTTTCAACTGCATAATTTAAATTTATAAGTTTTACCGTCATACACATGGTTATAAACATTCATATGTTGTTTGATATGAATTAAAGAAATGTGTGTGTCTTATTTTTGTTTACGATTTCATATTTTATTTTTTTAATATATAATTTTATATGATTTTTAGCTATAATATCATATTTATAATACTTTATTCTAAACCGTTTAAAACCGCCTAGTCCCCGATTAGGCGTTCTAAGCGCTAGGCCCTGAATCACCGTCCGCTTAGCGCCTAGCGCTTTCTTGAACATTGATTAACGGTTTATCTTTACGATTTTACCATCGGAGTTTGATACTAGTAAATCATTAAAACTAAACGTCCACAAATGAAGAAGAACCTAGGATATTTGTTTGCTCAATTGGAAATGAAACTTTAGTACTTTAGTACTTTTTTGGGCTACGTTGGTTTTCTTTTCTTTTTTAAATATATATTTATATAGTCAACAAAATTAAAAGAAATTTGTGTAGTTGTTATTAATGCCAATTGTCAAGCTAAAAGCAAAACAAGAGATTCCCGATCTTCTGTTCTGTCAAATCAAATCTCTACGTCTATCTACCGTTCGGGGTAGTGTAATAATTATTCAGTAAGATGTGATGTCTTAAGAAAAAAAAACTAAATATTCCAAAAATGGTCTTATCCTATGACTCGTATCCTATGCCTTTACCAGTAATCTAAAACTCTCACATGTTTCCTTCTTTAAACATATCATTATCCTTCTTTTTAGAATAAATTAAGGAAACTATCATCTTCAATCGACAAATTTCTGAACACAAAATATGCTTTTATGATGAAATGTATTCATGTGATTTACAATAACATTAAAAGTATTAATCTGGTGTAATTTTTAAGGCATGCAAGATCATTACTAATACATGTGGGTTCGGCTGTGTTTGGCCTAAAGTGGTCATGTTTAAGTTAGCTGAAAAAGATCAATTCACAACTTCTAGTTTAGTTTAGTCGAATCATGTAACGCTAACAAATTTATCTATTCTTTGGTCTTTCATTAAACTGATCGCTTTATGAATTAGAGGTGTTTGATCCAAATCTTATTATTATTTTGGTAAACCGTATGAGTTCTGAACTTTTAGTCCATAATCTCTTCCGATACTTGAAATATACCGTTGATAATACTACTTTTAAGAGTAAATATTTTTATCAAGTAGACCCCAACCAAATAAAATTTGTAAGCGATTTTCATGAAAAAAATCTTCCAATAGATCTATATTATTATTATTTTGTGGACATGACAAAATCTGACCCAGATTGTATTAACGTTTTCTACGCTCAAGCAAATTGGGGCCAACTAAAAAGATATGGTATAGTTTCTATCAAATTAAATACGATGAGTAATGAATATTTTTCTGACCAGACCAAATACTAAATACAGTTTATTATAAAATTTTGGAATTGCGTAGGGTATATGGTAGTCAAACAGGAACAATGCAACAAATGCATAAAAGCAAAATAAATACGAATGATGACCTACATTGTCGGATAGAATCCTTAATATAAACAATTGTATTTTTTTAGTGGCACAAAATGAGACAACGTGAGACGATTTGTGAAAACATAATGGGTCCAATCCTTAAAAACAATATGTAAATTATTATCATGTAACAGAATCAAAGATGTGTCTCTCTGCAAATGCATAAATATCTGCATTAAATTATAGTATATGATTTTGTTGTTGTAATAGAATACTAAGAAACCCATCTCACTTTGTTTACTATTCATATCTTATGTCAGAAAAAGCACATTTAGTGTTATTAAATCAGTGATTATCTTTCTCTTTTGGTAGGAACCATGTTAATTAGTCAACTAATGACTTTTTTAAGTACGAGTTGAGAATTTTGGTGCTAATCAATGAGTGATTTTGATATGGAAGCTAAAGAAGACAGATCTTATGTTAACCTCGAAAATCCATATTTGACATATTTCAAAAACCAAAGTAAATGTTATAAAATGCATAAACGAATAAAAAACCTTCCTAAAGCTTTTTTTACACCAAACCTTACTAAGTAACCAGAAGAAAAGATTCAAGGTCGAGGCGATTTTTAAGCGCGGCTCCTAGACCAGACCGATGATGGTTCCTATCAGTCAGTCCAAAGGCAAACCAAGCTCACTGATTCCGACAGACGGTGTTTAAATCCTGAACGTCCCATTGTAACCGGGGATCCAATTTGTTGATCCAACAAGTCTCTCATTTTGGAGTCTGTTTCGAGTTTGGATCTCGTTACTCATCAACGCATCCCAGTGGCGACCATTAGGCAAGGTCAGATTTCTGGTCAGTATGTTATTGCCTTGAGATTGATCCATAAGCCTTGGTGCCATTCCCAAAGAATCAGTGAATCTACAGTTTTGATGCGAAGACAAAGGGCTCTGCATTACCGCTTGCTGTTGTTGTTGGAGCTTTGCCGCGTTTCCAAACATGTTTGTGTTTCCTTGGAAGTTTGATCTGAAGTCTAGGCTTGCATTCTCAAAGCCTTGACCAACGGCCAAAATGGCAGGATCCATGAATTGAACATCCCTCACATTATCAATTGGAAGTGACTGCTGATAATGATTACCATACGCTATTGAATCAGAAAAACGAGAGTTTCCTACAAGTAACGAGAACAGATAGTTAATTTATCTAGCGATAGGTGGCAGCAACATATGCGATACATTATAAGATCCCAAGCAACTTTAAAGATATATAAACTACCTGAAAGGCCATCAAAAATCTGATGGTCTCTCCCATTTGAGGAGAAGCCTGGAGGAGGAGGTCGACTTGGAACTGAAAAGCCAGGTGGTGCTGATACTGGACCTCTTGGAACAGCTACAAGACAAAAACAAAGGATTGATTAAGATTATACAAATGCTCCACAATCCCAATAATATGTAGGAACTATGGCTCCATTACACAAATGCTCCAAAACAAACCCAAGTCAATATCCCGGAAGTATAATATTTCAATAACCAAGAAACACATCAACTAAAAACAGTGGAAATATATATTCATTTTCAGTATCTAACAGACCAGTACGCTTGAACTAGATGTTATAAACATTACTATTGATCGGCACTAGAGTGTTTGAAATCCAAATTTACAACCATCAACTAGAAAGAACCAGTTTGGTGCAGTATAAGTAAACATGAACCTAGAAGGCTAGAAGCTAAAGGTAAGGACAAGAAATCAACACTCACAGTTAGGTTTATAGGATGAGGGCAAAGTGGAGCTTTCCGTGACATAGTCTAGTCCTCTACGATAACCGGATGAAAGACCATTATACGTCCCAAACATACCCATATTAGGACTCTGTCGTTCTAAAGAATCCTGGTAGAATTCATTGCCACGTGATATCTGGTTATGGACGTTGTAAGAATCAAAAGATTGATCCTTTGATTCCTCTTGCCTTGCAAAAGAAAACCGGGACTGATTATCCTCAACTTTACTGGAACTGGCTAGCTGAAGAGACCTGGCCTCTTCGTCACTTTCCCCAAATAGGTTTGCAAAGTTATGAGGTGAAGTTAAGTATTCATCAAGATCTAAAGACATTATATTTGCAATTATCCTGTCATCTATATCACTCCTAGAGTTTTCTTGCAAGTCGACGAAACTTTTTTCAATTGGCTGTGTGTCCCTTGCCTTGTCTGGAACCAAAATAGAATGGTTAAGACTGCCGTTTAAATGATTGGGCTCCCTAAGTGGCATCTCGGTATATCCATGTGAGATGGGTGCTATACTACTTCCTCTGCTGTCAGAATAGGAAGATCCAAACACAGTCCTGGTTTCATCATGCTCAGCCTTATACTGGGATGAACAAGGCTGCATACTATTTGACGGGCGTAGGAAACCATTGGGCTGACAGCTAAGAACTTCTGGATCCTTGAGTCTTTGTCTATTGAACAACGATATATCATCCTCGGCTTCCAGATAATGATCTGTTCTCAATGGTGACATCAAAGAAGTACCTGTATTAACTTCTTGTCTCGAGACACCGACCTCATTTGCGTTAGTTCTACTGGACTTTTGTAATGGCTGAACTTCTCTAGGTTCATCGACACAACGCTGTAAATAATCTTGGGACACCTCTGTATGAGATGACTTTATGGAAGCATGATCAAAATGTGAATTGTCAGATCTTGTTATTCCATGATAGCCATCCACAGCACTATCTGCATCCACTGACACATCATCGCTGCATACACTCTGTATTCTTCTGTTAATCATTATGTTTCCATTAGACAGCATGGATCTACTAGACTGAGAAGTATGTTCTGGAAAGTCTGTGCAATCTGATGGCTCACTAATAGCTCTAATATTATCCACACTGACAGAGATTACTTCCCTACTATTACTGATCTGGGTCTTATTAGACACGGAAAGCTCAGGAAAATCAGTTTGACCATCCAATAGGCTTGGTGGTTTCAAAGCATTTCCATCTGCAGTACGATTATCTTCTAATGTTGGCTTCTTTAATTCATCACTGCGATGTAAAGACATCGGTGCAGGATTTATTGCAACCGCAGATGAAACTGTAGCAGTTTTGTCTTTTAAGGGTTCCCTAGAACTTGGTGTATTTGGTACCGAAGACTGGCTTGAAGAATGCATTCCCCTGAAAAACCAGTTACAAGTTTCTGAGAAAAAGGAGGTACACAACTGAAACAAAACACTATCATAAGAATTCAGTGTACCACATGGCTCCAGCAGGAAGAGTAACAGATTGACTGTTGCTGTCATTTGGAGGAGAATTTTTAGCGACACTATGTGCATTCTGCAAAGGAGAAAAGGGCGAAAAAGAAGAAGCCAAAAGCAGAATATATTATACATAAACACATCTAGTCTAGTCCTTCTCATAAAGTATAATTTCAAGAGGCTCCAAGAAGAGCTGGCAACTTACATTCAAAACAACTTTTGGAATTGTTCCTGTGCTAGACTCATTATCAACATAATCATCAACTGGTGGAGGTAACATGCTCCCTGAACGCCGCACATAATGATCCCTCCAACCAGTAATTTCTTGAACCATTCTCCTATTCAAACAGAACGAGAATCAGATAACCACCTAACGAGCACAACATATAGAGCAGAAGAAAGAACTGATGCAAAATTAAATCTCTCCTAGCCTCATGTAAGGATGAAAGTTAAAAAGAAAACTAGCTAGTGAACAAGTTCACATCTGCATCCACAAAACATGTGCTAAATGCACTATTAATGTCAACTAAAAGGCAAAGCAATATCGGGATTATTGACAAAAATTTACCTCATGTGCACTGATATGGTCTCATCTTTTGTGAAACTATCCTCTTGGGAACCAATCTCATGCAAGTAAAGGCATTCAGAATTGGAGCAAGGCTGCAGAAACAAAAGGCATACACGAAACACAATTGGATTTGTATTTAAGTATTTAGAGGGAACTAGTGAGGCAAATGCAAGACAATTTCTGCTTACCATGTTTCTCAACCACGCATGACAATACTTCATGGTTCCAAAACATGCCCTAATGACATCCAAAAAAATATTAGAAATTGAACCACAACCTACTATAACTAGTTTTGAAAAAAAGGAATCATCACATACTTCAAATTTCTACCATCCAAAATAAATCCATGTACTGATCGGATACAACGAATTGCTTCCTCCTCTTTGGAATAAGTAATATATCTGGGAAATTTCACAAAAAGAAATGAAAATGTTAGCTCAATGAAGTTTGTTAAAAGCAAACATGTCATGTCGACCGCAGAAAGGTGATATGGAATCACAGATATTAGTTCATCAAGAACTAGATACAATCAATGGAATGTGTAAGGATATACAGATACATACACACTGCAAGTATTGTTTGGAAATTGTTGGACAGCCCCAGCTGCAGTCCGAGACATTGCTACTTTGATGACTTTCCCATATTGACCAAAGTATTCTCTTCGCTGAAAAAGCTGCATACATAAAAACCCAGATTAATGAGATGAAAAAGGTGATCTATTTTCAAAGCAAATGTAAGTGCCAAGGAGATAAGTTAAGCTGTTTCAGTTACATCTTCATCTGCCAGGTCAAAAGGCAAGCTCATAACGTAAACCAAATTTCTCTGGATAACTCTCACACCAGTTAGATCTTTCCTCCCCTCCGAAGGTTTAGGCTTCGCCTTCTGTGACTTTTTCCGGTCATTGTTGAGTTCAGCAACCAGCCTAGTGAATTATCAGAACAAAAAAAAAGGATAAGTTTTTACACGTTTCACAGAAACAATAAAGGTTTGTTTTTAGCTTCAGATCTACCTTTCACAGCTGACTGTCATCCCAACAATCTTTTCCTTATCATAACGGGTACGACATGCAGGACAGCGACCCTCTGTCTTATCTTTCTCAGCCATCTCTATAATATGATGCCAACACCAAACACATATCTGCAAAAAGTACATATATTTAAATAAAAATCAAATACATTATAGATCACCACAGTGGCACAATGAATGAATCAAACATAAACGAATAGGTAACAAGATAAAGCTAGATTATCTTCAACATCGATTATAAGAAAGGGTCCATTCACAAGATACTTGAAAACAATGTGGGACAACCTATAACACAGTTCGAAATCTGAGACTACACATCATGCTCCTTTTTAAGCAGAACACAACTCTCTACAGAGGCATGTGTTAATATATATACACAATACAGAATTAACAAAAGCATAGATTCTTAATGACACTTTGGTGCTCAAACTCAAAACAATATGCTAAGAAAAAACCCTGCTCATAGCAAATTGAATTGGAACTACCAACCATAGTTTCAATACCAAAATAAATCCCTCAAAGAAACATATCAACTGCCAATGGTTTCAAACTATAAACATTCTACTCAAACAGTGACAAGAAACAAACAAGAGAAACAAGTCTAGTAACCACATTTGAGGGAAAGTTGTCGTATAATAATGTATCAAACCTGATAACCACATTTGCAAGGTTTAAGATGTTGATCAGTCAAGTCCATCTCCTCTGCACATAGAGGACAAGTCTTTTCTCCTTTCTCATTCATCGTTACCTAATCATATTTTAATTAAACAATTATTAAACAATCATTAGAATCACAACATAATCCACAATTCTCAATTATATAAAAAAAAAACTACTGCAACTACACATTACTCCTTCTTTTAAACAATGAAGACAAATCTCAAACTAAAGTAAACTCTCAAAAACACAAAGGAACAATTTTTATCAAAAAGAACAACTTTTTTCAACTCTCAAAAACCTTAAATTTCGAAAAGATTATCCAGCAATGCAAAAAAACTTTGACCCACTCCAAAATTCCAACGAAGGGCCACGAAAGGTTCAAGATTCAAGCTTAAAACTCATAAGAAAGTAGAAATCTTTAACCTTTAAAGCGAATTTGGTGGAGAAATTGAAGTTCGTACCCTTTGGAATCAACGAACAAAAACCCTAATCCGTACGTTAGGGTTTGAGAAAACGCGGTTTGGAGAATTGGGTGGAGAGATAATGAAGAAGAGAGTAACGGTTTTGGGGAAGGAGAAGAGATTTGCAGAGAGAATTCGAAGAAGAAGAAGATTTGCGAAGAGACGAGAAAAAAAAAAAAAACTGTGGCTAAACCTTTGTTCTTCTGCCAATGGCTGGTGTTTTTTCAAAGATGTCAAATTCAATTTTTTTTGTCAATTAATATTCTTAAATAATAATTATTATACCTAATTTATTTTTCATGTTCTTTTTTTTTGACGGCAAGTTATTTTTTCATGTTAGAAGTACATTAATCTCATGTGACCAGTTTCTAGGTTTTCTAAAACCTATTTTTCTTATTAGGTTTATTTTGATTGGATAAATATTTATATTGATTGCCGTTAAAAAAAAATATATATATATATATATATATATATATATATATATGTATATTGATTAGTCGTGTGTGGTTAAAAGTTAAAAGGTAAAATACTTTAGTCCGGTTTATTAATTTAATCTCAAACACTTAGTCCGGTTTATTAACTGTTTTTGGTTTATTAGTTAAAACACAAACACTTAGCTAGTCCGGTTAAACACATACACTTTATGTGGAGAGTTGTGTCTAGATGACTCGACCTGTTGTGGTGTGACATGGCCGGTGAGTAGGTAGTTGTTGCGGCGATGAATTCATATCGTGAAACCAATTATTTTCGGAAAAAATCACTTAAATTTAGAGTTTAGGTTTAATTCTACTTGATCTACTAAAGATTTAATTATCAACTTCGAATTTAATCAAAATTAAAATATGTAAAATCGATTTACCCGTTTATCATATCTATAGGTCTAGTTTCGTTAGAAATTTTTTTCGTCCCACAACTTAGAATTCTGATAAAATTTTTTTAATTTTTAGTGTAAAGTTTTCGGTCTACACTTTCATATTCGAAACCATAAACATTCTACTGAAAACCAATCCACACATATTCACAATCAAACATTTAATTTACAAGTTGTTCTAAAATCAATTAAAATTTACGATTCATTTTTAGAACGATATTTTATAACTATCCTACCATGTTCGATCCTTATTTGGAAGCTCGGAAATAACATTGCGGCTAGGCTTGGCAACAAGGTGAATGTCCCTTTAGTCATTTTAGTTGTCTTTACAACAAAAATTTGACCATCAATAGAATCCCGTATACCGTTGAACTAACTAACAAAACTAAACAAACAAAGTTGGAGCACAACTAGGCCGAGTATGTGGCATACTCGATTAGTAATTCGGGAATAAAAAAGAACAACCTACAAATATTAAAGAAATATCGCAAGCACAACGATTTTCTGATCAAGTTCGGGAAATATGAGCTCGATATTCTTCGGAATGTTAGATTAATGCAGAAACGTCCGAATGATTTGGGTGTCTACTCAAATTTCTTGCTCTTGAAAGTGGAAAGTAACGCTCCAGTTTTGAGAAGGTGGGTTAGATCTCAAATCATTCAAGCATTTATGAGTTATTTAATTGCATTTAGGTTTTGATCACTTCTTTAACGTTGAGCCAATAGGTTCTCATGATCAGCTTTTATATTATCACTAGATGCACAAAATGTGATATAATCACATACTCTGTTTGTTTGCTATGGTCAAGATGCAGATATTATCCATGCTTAGAACATCAAATACCTGAAATCCTAAGGAATAGCATTCCCAATACGAGTCTAGCAAAAGAGGACTCAAGATTGCAGCAAGCAAAGGAATTCAAGCCATTTGTAAACTATGGAGCTTAAGAACAATATTGCATACAGCCAATAAAGACTTCATGTATAAGGCAATCATTGACATGTCCAATATAAAAAATTCTTTAATTTGTACAAAGATTTCATCAGATTGGAACTTTACTTGAAAAAGAGATCTTTAGTTATCATACTTATATGTCAACTCTTTCTTCAAACTAAAAGCAGCCTTGTTCAAAGCAAGAAACAAATAAAAGTATTGAAGAAAATGGACTAATCTTGCAGTTGCACTAAACTTGGAACATAAGAAGAAGAGCACACAAGTTCGCCTGCTATCAACTGGGAATTCAAGATTACTCCAATGTTGACAGATTTGAAATATCCTTCATCTCCAACAATGTAAGCCATTTGGTAACAACCGGTCTCGGTCTCTGTAATATCAAAAAACACAGCTACTTTCTTCTCCTCATCAATGAAGAAGCTCCTAGGTTCATAGTAAATTGAAAAACCATCCGGTAAACCATTGATTAGTGACATATCCACTGTCAAAAAAGTGCTCCATGATACCGCATTGGGCTCAATCTTAGTCGAAATCCAAATCTCTATAGTCTCATATGTGTCGTAGTGGCTATATAACACAGCGAGCTTATCATCTCTAGCCCAAGATAGAGTCAAATATTCAAAAATAGGAGAGGGAGGGTTAAACGGCAGAGACAAACGCGGTCCAAATCTCTCTGTTGTAAAATCAAAACAGAGTAAATAATCTTCGATCTCTGTTACCAACAAGTCTTCTTTCCCCACTTCTGCCTCTGTTGTTACCTCTCGACCGAACAAGTATGAATTTCCCTTCAAAGACACGCCACTCTGATAAAACAGTTCATCCCAATCGGGATTAACATCAAGAACCCTCCATGAATCAGAGCTAAAATCGTAGACATCAATGTCCCTTTCTCGACCGGTTCTGTTTCTCTCGGCATCATAAAGAAACCTCAAGATTTTGTGGTTACGGTTGTTGCGTATCCAAGAGCAAACCTGTCATATCTGTGGAATGTGTTTCTGGGTCGGATCCATTTCGTTTGCCCCATATACGGATTCCATACCATAAGACTCGAGTTGTCTTTGGTGATGCATAACAATAAGCCATCGCAGTGATAGACTTGAGATATCTCGACTTGATCATCATTATTAGGTATACTTATTTGCTTCATAGATGGATGAACGAAGTCTTCTTCGTCTTCGTTACGGATTCCTTGGAGATCTAATCTCAAAGAACAAACCCTAGAATCTATAACCATGAACTCCAGAAACTGATTTCTTGCTGCTGATTTTTACCAAAGATATGATTTTTCGATATAGCGTTCCATCCTTTACAAGTAGATCGCACTGCGCTTAGAGATGTAAATGGAACCCTAGAAAAGATCTCACCAACCAAATCATCTGACAGATCGGAAATTGTCGTCATTCTTCCCAAGTTTCCAACTTTCTCCAGAGATTTTGTATTCTTCTTCTGCAAGCTAGTGTTGTCTTTAATGTATCAATTTCGAATCCCTAAGTGTATCTCTTAATAAGGCTTCGTTACGTTTTGCTTTGGATCAGAATGTTTAAATGGGCCTATTAGTTGAATAAGGATGCAACCAATAACTGTAATATTTAAATAATTAGAAAAATGAGTTTGGACACAAATGAATGAATGATTCACCCAAAAATATGATCGTAAACATAAACATATTGGAAAAATAGACAAGTAAAATAGTTTTTAGTTTTTTTTACCACTTATGAGACCTGAACGTTGAAGCCATTTGGGTGCAGATATAGTATTTACTACTTAAAACTACCATTTCCCCTTCATAAAATTGCATACAAAAACTTTAATACGTATGAAGATTTCCTTGGGGGCAACCGTCACTCCACCCTTGGCTTTAGATCCGCCCCTCATTTCATGAAAATCCTATACATATTTTGTATAACTAATTAGAAGATCGTCAATTATAGAGAGCCCATCCCATTTTTTTTTTTGTTATATGTTATATTATATATAAGTTGATTTTTAGGAGAGAAAGTGAAAAATTATATTTTGACTGAAAGATTCAAAACATATTTTTAACGGAAAATGCGTAATCATATTTTTGATTTTTTTTTTGGGAATCATGTTTTCACTAAAAATTGCAAAATGACGTTTGTGGTAGGAAAAACATGCTTTTGATGGGAAATTAAAGAATAATATGTGTTTACTAAAACAAAAAATATGAAGCGTTATGACATTGCAGAATCTTCTCTTATAATCTCTGGGATTCTCATAGCGATGAGGTTACAACGGTCGAGGTGAGGACATTGCATAATTTTCTTCCATGATTGTCTTAGTGTCGTTTACAAAGTAATGACTAATATCATGTTATGTAGCTTGTAGATTTTGATTGGTATCTAGAGTTTGAGTTTTTGGCCTACAAGGTTTTCTCTCCCTTACACATTCAAGTTTCAAGTCCAATCTGAGCTCGAATTGTCTTTCAACGCATTTTAGTCTGGCTCGTATGATATTGTAGGGAACGACAAACAACAGTTTACAAATTCAGTCTCAGTGCGGTACAAATGCAATATATATATATCCGAAATTCTTGAGATTCTAGACGAGGTTCCTCCAGAGAAACATAAATATGTTTTCAAGTGGGTTAATAAGAATTTTTATCTTCGAGAGAATTAGAAGCACAAGCTAAAGCACATAAATCATAATCAACTTTCAATAAGTTTGTTTGCAAATATTAAAAGTTTGTTAACTGCAAAACATACTTTTGCTTATCTAGAGGAACTTCGTAGTGAGAATCAAATCAATAAACTCGGAAATATGTATCCACTTCATTTGTACTTGTCCAGAAAAACCTTGTAACATTTCTACTAATAGTTGTTATCCAAGTCAACAAACTTTTAATATTTTATTAGTAGCTATGTAGCGCCGACTACCGTATATACAATCATATTTTTCGCAACATTATTAAATATATATTTTCTGATAGTTTAAGTGTTAGTTATTATATATATAATGTATAAGCTTTTCAATTTTTTTTTTTATAATTATTTTATGTTGATGATGATTTAGGTTTGTATAATCAAAGTTATCAAATGTATTACTTTTTGTTTATTTTTAAAGATCTTATAATGTTTATAATTTTTTATTCTTAGTCTATTTAATTTTCGAATAAGTAATTATTGAGAATTGTTTAGAGAATAGTAAAGTGGTAAAGTTGTAAGAATATATTAAGTAGTAAAACATCCCATATAATTTGTTTAAATAATACTATGAAGCTACAAATTTGTTT